TTTCTCCCCCTCCATCAGAAGGTGCCGTGGAGGAGGTGTAACCCCCTGCTCCCCCACCACCCCAGTTCCGAAAGTAGGGACTTTGAAAAGGACAGAGAAAGTATATTAGAAGGTATACGCATGATAAATGTCGAGGAATCCGAAAGAAAGAGGGCGGTGCCTCGGCGCCGGATCGATTGCGGCGCCACTGTGAAGCACGCAGTAGAAAATAGGGATCATGCACTAGCGGGAGATTTAAAGGAACCGCGAGCCTCTCCAGCCCACTACGCCCTAGAGTGAAAAAATTTTTGACTCAGTCACGGAGGAGCCAGGTCTGCAGATGGCCACATACCGAACGAGATACATCTGATAAGAAAGACACAGCTGCGAGCAACGGAGACCCTGAGTTCGGCGCAGGATCAGCCCCCGAATCCCCTGAATCCGAACCAGATTTATATCCTCTGCTTCCAGACCCTGACTCATTGTCTCCCAGGTCGGTCTGCTCAGATTTACTGGCCCTGGAGATGCTCAGTTGCAACAATGGGTAACAGAAGATGTGATCATTACTGGTGAATTTTCTGCAATGGGCATCTTTGCATATCCTGTGTTTACTACACAGCAGGTGGCTAAAGAGTGGGAAGCTCTTGATCTCAAAATAGTTAAGGAGGCCTGACAAACAGTGACCACGTATGCGTTAAAATCCTCTTATGCTCAAGCTGTATATGTTACGATTTTTTCTTGCAATTGACGGGGGAGCCCATACAGTTTCTCTGTGATACTTATGTACTAGAAGTTATAAGTATGTCCAGGTTTCTACCAACCCTTGGAGACCTCTGTAGATACTGCTGGCCACTTCTTCCAGCACAGGCTGGCCACCTGTGTCGGAATGAGTGTGCATTTTGGTCAGCATTAAAGCCCAAGCCTCATACGATGTGGGGGAGGCGGAGCCTCTGCGGGGACGCCTGCTAAGGTTGAGCCTGCCACCTCGCACTGCAGTGATGCTTCTCGGAGCTGGTTTGCTGTTAGTCTCCCCAGGGTCCTTGTGCCACGTTCTATACGTGGGACTGTAGTGGGAGTAATGATGGCTTTTGAAGGGACTTAAAAGAGGGGGGGAGAGAGAGAGAGTAATGATGTTACATTTAACTTTAACCTGTCTAACCTGTCTACTTCTGAAGAACTGATAACCTGGGGGAGGGGGTATATTTGTGTCCTCCTGCCTACAGGTCCATGGCGGCTGTCTGCAAAGTTTGTGGAGCCCTGCCATGAGCTGGACAGATGAATGGAAAAACCTGATGCCTCAGCTACAGGAGCTGACCGTGATTACCCCAAGCAGAATGAGATAGAGGAGGAGAAAGAACAAATAACTGCAAAACATCACTTGGGGGCAACTGAAAAGTAACATCCTGAATATGTGTGCTTGTAAAATAGCTATTATTAGAGGTTGTGATTTTGTGTATAAAACCACCTGTATTTACTAGCTAGTTGCTAATAAGAAACTGCACCTTGTATTGTATAGATTTGTCACTTGTAAAAGAGATGTTAGAGTATGGAAATTTGCAGTAGCTGCTAGAAAATGCTAAGGCAAAAGCTAGAAAAATTTTAATACAATGGTAGTCTTATAAAGCAGGTGATGGAACAAATTAAGAGGGGGGGAGAATTCCACTGCTAAGAAATTTCTTTGGCTAGTCCCTCACTGCCATCAGCATCTTCAACATGCTGCTGCACCCTGCAATAGTTACTCTGCTAATGTAAATATGTGTGTGCCTTGCTGTAGTAGCGACTTGTTACTGGATGAAGCAGGTGAAACTGTGCATTGACAGCAAGGTGCAAGGACTGAGGCTGACCAAATGCCTGCTACCACAATCAAGGGCAAGACTGGGTTGGCTTCTGTGTTTGCCACCAAGAAGAACCTTTAGCTCCGCTGTTGGCTGCAACCCAGCAGGCGTGGAGCGGTGGGGACACACGCCATGCCAGACCTTGATGTGAAGGAACAGAGAGCTATACAGCCTGTTATCAGAGAGCCGTACAGCAGAAAAAAAAGGGGCAGGCCCAGGCAGCCTCTAGTTGGCGTATGTTGGGGATATAATCTAGCCCAGATCCCCTGCTCAAGTAGGGTCACCCAAACCATATATAAAACATAAAGGGGGAAGATGTGGAGATGTATCATTGATTAGGTTAATCATCGTAGCTATTAGACTTGTTTATAGTTGTGTGATAAAACAGGTGAACAGAATAACCCATAATGCCTTGCTTGCACAAAGAAAAAGGGGGGAATTGTTGCAGAATGACTCTAAGAGCAGGACCATAGAGTTCTGGAGGACTGTGCAAGCAAGGCAGGGGGTGGCCCCCACAGGTAGCCGGAGACCAGACCTGGGAGGAGAATGTGGAGGAAGCTGTGGGGGCTAACCAATACTGTTGTGCCAAGAAGGAGTGGCTGAATACCACTCCTATATATGTGTGAACTGCGTCACAAATAAACCAGAAGTTGCTTATCACCCATATTGGGTTGGCCTGCCTGCTTCTCCTCGCCACTTACAACTGTAGCTAATTTTCAATGCTTAGAAACACTCATGCAGGCAATATGCACTGCGTTCGTTGTGAGTAGGTACATGCTAATCTCTCACATTAGAGAGCACCATGTCCCAGTGGCACATTCTTCACTCACCTAAATGCTTCAGTGAGAAGAGAAGGGCTCTTTATACAGCTCAGTGCTGGAAACTGGAAAAATAAAATCAATCAAGAAATAAAGAAATGATGCAGAGACAGAGATGCTAAGAATTTCCATTAGTATAGGTATGCTGGTCTTTTCCACCCAAACAAGTCTTCATGCTACTGTAACTATTCAACTGATTTTACGTCAAAAGATTCGGCCAGATCTGCAAACATTTTTCACCACATTTTTGTGGTTTTCACTCTTTCAACCCATTTTCTGCTATGGAATTAATTTACAAACAATGTGTCTTGTCCTCCAAGTAATCGTATGTGAAAGATAGATACCCTATGCAGTGAAGCATTTCAGGCCGTTCGTGACACCCAGTCTGCCCCCTGGAGACATGTCCTTCTAAAAACTGTGTTTATGTTTCCATTTTTATATAGTATTTGAAGCTGAGAATTTTCTTATAAATGCTTGGCATAACCTTTTCATTAACCATGGTATACTTCTCACACAAAGTAAGAGGCAAAGAAGAGAAAATTATATGAACTTATTTGTTTATGGTGTTTATGTCATAGAATATCTGGTATTAGCTTTGATTTAAATATCCTTCTGACATGCTAGAATTTGTAAAATTATTTTGATAAAGAGCATTTGGCCTAGACATCTTGATGTGTGTGATAGTAGCACAATAGTTCCTGAGAATTAAAGTATACCATTTTTTGACAGAAGAAAAATTTTTTGGTGGTATTGTAGATGGCGTCTAGTGTCACGTACCTAGGACTAGCAGTACTACCTCTAGTATGACAAAGCTAAAACCATGACACACTTCCACCATTTTAAGCATACTGGCACATGATTTTAGAAGCATTGCTTCAGACTAGGATAAATATAGATACCAGACACAACTCCACATTACTTGTCCTACCTCTATAATGAAATTTAGGGAAAGGCATATTCCCATGCACTCCCAGAAGTTGGTAACAGCCTTCCTGAAGGGTGGGTTTGATCTTCGGAGGCACACGTTTCCATTGCAGCTTTTCTCAGCCTTTTTGCACAGCTCTGTTGGGAAGTGCCTTAGTTGGACCTTCTGAACAAGCTCTTGTTTTCCTGCAATAAATAATCTCTGCTTATTCAGTTCCACAAGAGATTCACAAGCTCGCTCTGCCCTCTTCCTCCTGTTCTGCTTCTGTTCCTGCCACCTGTCCCCAGAGTTATGGCTTTGGCAGCTGAAATCCACCTCTGTCTTCCCCCTCACAGTCAGCCGAGGGCACTGAAAACTGCACCAAACACTTCCTTAGCACCCATGTTACCACGCAAGAGACATGCTGAAAGTTGTAGAAATTATTCAACATATGGTTTAGACTCATGGGGGTTGGTCGGGCACCAAAAGCAGAGATGCCAGTAAGAGAGCAATGCGGTTCAGGTTCAAGGTTCAGACAAGGGAAATAACTAACCTGAGGTAAGGAAAACCAGCCTTTCTTGTGCTATTACTATAGAGGAAGTTTCATGGAGAAGTCTGCTTTTCAAACAGAAGGGAGATCCAGACAGGAAGAAAATTTGCAAGGACAGCTGATAGTGGAAGAGGAAGATGGCATTTAGGATTTGCAAAATCAGCAGGCAGTTTTTGGATACAAGTAGCCCATATGGATGGGAGTATCCCTAACAGTCCAAAAAGAGGAGGTGATGCAATTGCTGGGTGCGTTGCTTGCAACCAGCATTACTGCAACAGAGCCACTCCAGACAAAAGCTCATACATGGTCCTTGCAAGGTCCTTCTTACTTCTTTGTATGGGCTTTCCCCGTCTGCTGCCAGTTGGGCAGAAAAGAAGTCACTGGAAAGCCTCAAGTCAGCTTCAGCAGTATGACAAACGAGATGCTCTTTCTTCTTCCTACTCCTCCCCAGGTCTGGTGTGTGGGGCCCAGGTTTTGGAGGTGTGAGGAGGCCATGCAGGACCCTTGGCCACCCCTGGGCAGGCATGAGGACAGAAACCCCTACCCTGGATGCCCACGGCAAGCTGCGGTGCACCTGACCCGTTCAGTGCCCTCAACCCCAGCATTACAATCAAAGCAGAAAATCAGGAATCTTCATCCATGGCTGAGTTTTTTTTAAGCCTGGGAGTTTCACATTTTCTAGATTTTCTCCATGACCACAACAGTTAAATATGTATTTCCTTTTTAATTTAACCAGTGCTGGACACCTGTCTTCTGAAACTGGGACTTTAATTCCCCCTTGTTCCCAGCTAGTCTCTCCCTTCTGTATCTCCTCCTCCTCCTCTTCCTCCCCTACAGCACCCCAGCACTCATATTTAGGAAGATTTATGCTGGAGCTGTCAGCAATATATTAGGAGCAGAAGGTGGTATTCAAGTAAAGGCCAATGCAGTGCAGAATTGCAGAGCTGGATGCAAGAGCAAACAGAAAGGAAGCACTTACCATAAGGTGCTTTGCATCAGAGCTGGCTGTACATTTTTCATCTAAGCAAATTTTCACTGAAAATTATTCTCTTCTTGGTCAAACTTTTCATGAGAGGTGTCTGCTTTTGCATTTTGACTTCAGATAACTGAAGGCTACAAAACAAAAGATATTCCAATCAGCACAAATTCCAGCTTACAGCCAAATTGTGTTTGACAAAAATCTGTCATTTCTCAGGGAAGAAAAGAACCTTTTTTCATCCAGTACTATTTTATCAGCCTACAGTATACAATGCCTATTGTTTTTAGTGCTGTTAAACCTCTTACCGTATTTCAGTACTGCAGCTGGCCATCATGCTTGTGTTTGTATATTGAATATCTGTGGGGTAGATTACTTCATTGCTTTGTATCAGTTCCCCAATTGGAAAGGGGACATACGTCTTGTCTGCTCAGCTGATAAGCATAGTGACTGCTGTCTCTTACTGCGCTTGGGTACAGTGCCACCTAAAATGGGTCACCAGTTTCAATGGGTGCTAATGTTGTGCTGATGTCATGCAAGCAATAGAAAATAATACTCTTATTAAATGAGTATCTTCTTTCAGCTCCAGAGCAGGCAAAGAAACACATGCTCGGAGTTTTTTTCCCAGAAACAGGCCACATGAAACAAATCTCCCTGGTTTTCTAACAGTGGCTGATGTTCATAAATCTATGTATGTCCATGCTGTTTGCTTAGCACAGTGAGGACAGGGGTATCATGTGAGATTATTTGTGCACTAGTGATAAATATCACATTGGTATGAGGAGAACTCAATACTCATTCCTTCCCATTCCTTTTTTTTTACTCCTTTCTCAAAAGTATTTTATTTTTTCCACTGCTAGTAGGAATCTCCATTATATAGTAGTGCCATTGCATGGTAGCTGCTCTAAACATGCTTCCCATCAGCAGGTCTGAGCTCAAGTTTACCATGCAGAGGAACTGTATTTGCAGGACTATTATCCTTGAGTGCTCTTCCCAGAACAAACCAGTTTAGATTTGCTGTCTTCCCCCAGAGGACAGAGGCTGGCAGAAGAGGTCTGGAGGGGCTCCAGCAGTGCTAGCATGTCCCATCCCCATCATAGCTAGTGCAGGGCAGTAGGAAGTTTCTGCCCAGTCTGCCGTTCATGCATTGACCAAATCCTGAGGTCTCCACAGAGCCACTGTGTAACAGTACCGATGGTACCGAAGTGTGGATGATACTGTCTGCTTGCTTTACTCCTCCTGCCTCTGCTTTCAGGTCCTGAAAAGGCTCTTCCACTGGCTTCCCGCTGAACTTGAACCCTCAGACAATAAGTAATGCAGACCAAGTTCTGGAGGTGTGCAGGAACAGTTTAGCACTCAGATTCGGGACTGAGCTCTAAACAGATTGCAGTAGTTTGGTGCATGTAAGGGTCCTGATAGCAAGGGATGTTACAGTCATACAAAACTTGCTGGCTCCCTTGCGTCTCATGTCTACGTATCTGTTGTAATTGGCTTTGGTTGCATCTCTGAACTTTGCCTAAAGCACGTAACACTCATGAATCTGCAAAATTGGACTGGAAGTCTCCAGAGAAGAGGATTACCCAGGAGAATTTTAGTATTTCCTGCTTCCAATTGGGCTGGAACCAACACAAAACCAGCTATAACAGTATTTGGCTCTTGCACGCCTGGTCCCAGCCAAAAGGCAGGAAATTTAGAGGTATGTAAAGATGAAAAATAAATGATGGGAGATTGGGATGAGGAACAGAGCCAAGGTTTTGAGAAACTAAAGGGGAAAAAAAATCAGTTGGGTCAGTTCTTATTTGTTTCTGAAGCATTTTGCTAACCTGCAGGGCTAGGTCCTCCCCTCTGCATGACACCTGGACTTTCTTACAAAAGAAGAATCCCTAAAAGCTAGATCTGGGGGCTTTGGCACTGTTTTATACCTCCCTGAAACAGAATAAAGCTGCCAAGTCAGACTGGGATCTACCCCAGAGTTTGTATTAATTAAATTATTTATTTAGCTGATAATTACAGGCTCCCTGGGCCTCACTCTCCTTGTACTCACACAAGTACTGTTTGGAGACCTCTGCTGAATTCAGAGGAAAATGTAATCTTCTCACTGTTCTTCAGCAGACCTGGCAACTGTTAGAAAGGCCGTAACAACTCTACATTATTACAGATCCATACATAAACACAGCATTTCAGACAGAAACCACCTATCAAGATGAACAGTGGGAAATTGTTTTGTGTGCATGCCTGGAAATCGAGTGTTTAGATGTAGCACCGCAGTTTTTTGCTGCTTGTGACCTCCCTCACCAGCACAACAAATTGCAATTTGTCAAGGGCAGGGATGGATTTGTACATCTATGGAGCATCAACACAGCCTCTTGGGCTACTGGTTGCATTACATAGTTGCATGCAAAATAGAAAATTGACCCTTTTAATAGCAAGCAAGGACTCCAATAGCAATTACAGGGCATCCCAAGCAGTTTGTACCTAGTTACATTAAGGTGGTGATGCAGATGGCAGGAAGAGCCCTGTGGTTGTGGAGGTACCTGGCAAAGTGCTACACTAGCCTCTCTGGATAAGTTCAGCCCGGCTGGCACCATACTGTCTGCACCTGTCAGGAGAAAGCCTGCTTAAGGACTGCTGCTCTATACTCAGAACTGTCAGTAGCTTCTTCTCCTCTCTTTGATACACTCAGAATTGTATCCTGGCCAAGTAGGCCAGGTTGAAGGGGGCTTCAGGCAACCTGGAACCACATGATCCTTTAGGTCCCTTCCAACCCAAATCATTGTATGATTCTATGATTTATATTCTTAGAGCCAAACCTACATATATTATGTTTTTTTGCCTTTACTCTTGGGCTGGGTAATCCAGTGTAGACTAGGTGCATGAAGGTCTCATGTGCCATTACTATTTGTATAAAACACCCTGACCTACTAATAATAGTTCACACTAGGTGATGAAGGGGCGTCTCTTTGCTTTTAAGCTATCTATATGTGACTGCAAAGTGTGTAAGTGCAGCTCTTCCCCAGAGATAGTGTCAAGCAACCAGCAGCTGAGGCTGCCAAGGAATTTGCTTCTACAGCTGGGAGAGAATGTGGATAAGGATGATAGCTCTGGTCAACACCACTGATAACCCCAGTTGCCTGCTGCATGCTCAGCACCAGGCCATTGGGCAGCATGGGGGTGGTAACTCTGCAAAGATCCTGCTCCTGGGTCTTCCATTTCCACAGCCCTCTGGCAGATGAGAGGACTGATAGCTCTCAGCTGTTTCTGTATTTTGGTATGCAGCTCAGAAATCTGGCTATATCACTCTGTTGAGTCAGACCACGTGTATCTTGATAGCTGGGGATGTTCATCCACTCCTGAAGAGAGGGAATAATCTAATTAGATTCTTGCTAGCCATAAATTTGGAGTAGTCACAAGTAACGTAAATAACTGAATATTTTCAGCTGGGTTTCATATCCCTGGAAGATAACTGTCTAAATGTTTGGGTATTGGTCCTCTAATTAGATACATGTTTTCCTGAATCCATTCTATCATGTGGAAAAAGACTTAAAAAAATTGGTCTTGAGTGATAGCTTGCTTTAGTCTTACAGTACAGTCACCAAATGAAAGTTCTTTTAAAAACTACTCTAGTCCCAGTTTTCATCCAACCAAGAAGGGCCAAGCCCTGTGGGTCTTCGAATACCAGGGGTCAAATTAAAAATGAGACTGCATATTCAAGAAAAAAAAAAGTCTTGGTTTTAGACTTACAAATAAAAGCACAAATACCCTTGGTTTAACCTTCTTGTAACCATTTACTCACAATGTACTTACGTTGTCATCCAAATGCTTAAACAGAAAAGCTTTCCCCCATGGCAGTGACCTTCTCTCTGTTTTCTGAGGTCTTGTTCCCCACATTCACATGTCAGGAGAACATATAACTCCTATAGCATGGGCTACCAGACCACCGCATTCGTAGTTTTACTACATTTCTGTCAAAGAAAATGGGCAATGGCTTTGCCTTCAGCTGTCTCTTTTTACTGGCATCTTAACTTCAACATCTTTCACCACCTGGGGCTTAAGAGGCTTCTTAAAATTGACAAAGGACAAGTCCAGCTCTCTTTTTCCATAAGCCTGTGCTGTGCAGGTCCCACTTGGTTATCAATGGCAGTGTTATGAAAGTTCAGCAAGGCTAAACACTCGTTAACTACTTACAAGCTTTTTTGGCTCAGCAAGTAAATCCTTCAACAGTTCTGCTTGCTTATTCTGCTATCCCATTAGACAGGATAACTTTTGGGCTAAACAAGAAAGGTTTTCACAGCCATGTGCCTTTGCAAGCAGAAAATTCTGACTGCTTAGGGCACATTTCTTGCAGAGCCCAGGTGGCTATTTATACACAACAGGTTTTTCCATTCCAAAATCAGAATGCAACTCTGAGTTGCATAAGGTATCCTAAGGACCACAGCAATACAGATAATAAATAATCATCTCACCCTAACACATACCCTGAGGTCAGGAAAGCAGATTGGTTGTTGTTGCCACTTCTTGGAGAACACCTGCCTCCTTTTCCTTCAGAGTACTGGCAGAACAGGAGTACTGAACTAGATCTACTGATGGCTGGTGTTAAGGGGAAATTCAGCCAGCATCATATTATGATCACTTTGGCCCACCTTAATCTCACTTGAACTCCAGTTAAGTCCCTTGTGAACTTTATGACCAAATCACTTTTGGGGTCCAGCAAGAGCTAGGAAGCCCATGATTTAGAAATGGCAGTGGAATTTAGGTCAAATGATGAGTCTTATTGTCTGTAAAGTTTAGAAGTTAAATCCATACCTGGATGAAGTAAATTGTCATTTACAACAAATATCCATCAGCACTCTTGCTTCGTTTTCAGTCGGGAGCATCCCTGGGCCTGGGTAATAGGTTTGTAAGTTTCTAAGGACATGAAGGAGAGGCTTTCTGCAACCTCAGTAGTACCTGCAGTGTTTCTTTGGCATAGTGAAAGCTGTGAAAATGAAATATTCCTTTTGCTCATTATATTCCACCTTCAGAGTTTACCAGTGCTCCACACAGTCACTAGTCTCTGAAGCAGATCAAAGTCAGAATGTTCAGATCCTTTTCTGTGGCATGCACCCTGACTAATCATTGTACCTATTACTTCTGCAGCTAACTCCCTTTCACTGGAAACTCTCAGCTGAAGTCAAATTCTGTTGAAGATGATCCATGGATCCATACACTTCAGCTTACAAATTTTTGTTTTCTTTCTTCCTCTTCAAGCTGTTCCTACTTTTCAGCAGTTTCTATAATCTTTCTTCCTTCACCCAGTTCCGATCCCTGCTGGCATGTCTAGTAGCCTGTCAACCTCCATTTTCCCTTCTCTCTCCTTCTGTTTCCTTGCGGGACACCCTTTTGTCTCCAAAACCCCTTATATCATCTTTCTACTGATCACTGCTAAATCTTCTCTTCCCCAAACCAGTTCCTCTTAGCTCAGGTTCACATCTTTGATATTGCTTCACTGACATCTTGCCACTCCCTTGGCCTAGCTGGCAAGAGCAGACCCATTTCCCTTCCTGTGCCCTCTTCATTCCTCCAGTCTTTCCTCTGTGTGGAGTTTCTACAGTCTGGACCTTCTTCATCTTCCACATAACCAATAGCCCTATCTTAAGTTTTATACCCAAGTCATCTGAAACTATATCTGTGTTTTCACTCATTAGTCAGGCTTGTGAGAGGTTTGGATTTCATTTACATCTAGAGAATCACAGAAACATAGAATAGTTAGGGTTGGAAACGACCTTAAGGTCATCTAGTTCCAACCCCCTTACCATGGGCAGGAACACCTCACATTAAACCATGTCACCCAAGACTCCATCCAACCTGGCCTTGAACACTGCCAGGGATGGAGCATTCACAACTTCCCTGGGCAACCCATTCCAGTGCCTCATCACCCTCACAATACAGAACTTCTTCCTTATATCTAACCTGAACTTCTCCTGTTTAAGTTTGAACCCAGACTGTATGGGACATTAGTTGCCTCCAAAGCAGTGCTTTGAGGTTAGGTGGCAGGTTAAAGTCTAGCTGCCAGCCCAATGTGGGGAAGAATCCTGCCCTCCTCAGGGTCTGCATTGAGGAGGGAATGTTTGAGAAAGAACCAGGAAGAAGAGCTCTCCAGCCCAACTATATATCAGCAATACTGGAAACACCATGAAGTTGGAGGAAAGTTCACTTGATATAAGGCATTGTTTAAACTGTGAAGGTTATGTATAAAACCAAAGCTCTGGCATGGATGGTATTCCACTTAGAAGTATCTGTGTCCAGCTACTTAGGGTTTTGGAAGAAGTTAAAATGGAGTTAGGAGAAGGGTGCCTTACAGGGTTTAGTTTTGTTACAGTCCTCTGTACTCCCTTCTCATGCCTCTTCAGCCCACTTAGTAGCAGAGCTCACCCTCCTCTTCCACATTCTGTTCATACTCCTTTTCCTCCTTGAGCAGCCACTGTGCTTGCAGGAAAAGCTTGGATAGGATTTCAGAAACTTGGGTAGGATTGGAATTCAAAGGATTCTCTCCTTTGATTTTTGTTCACAGCTTCAAACTCATCCTTTGTATCTTCTAAACTTCTGTCTTTGATTTGGACCCAAAGTACTAGCAGTAGCACCTTTACTGGTTACTTTTCCCTTCTTCTAAAAATGATAGAAAACATAAAAATAATCAAAATATGTAAAAAATAAAAAATTGTATTAACTAAAACTAATTAGCACACTAATTTCAATCCACTTTCTTGGCAAAAACAGTTACATCTAGCATTCTTCTTCATTATTTTCATAATTTCTGCCTCATAAGAGAAGCCACTGATTAATTTCAGTAAAATCAGGCAGATGTAAAGAAACCTCAAAATATTAAGTTCAAACAATTGCTTAATTTTAAGTAGTGCAACTGAAGCTATGAATTCAGTGATTGGGAAATCACCAACTAAAATGAGGAGAAAGACACTAAACAGAACTTCTGCCTATGGAAAAGCTGCAGTAAGAACTGATCATCTCTCAGACTGTATGCTGCTTTAATAATACTTACCTAGGTTTCCATTTCTTACTTTTAAGCCATGTGTTTAATTTGTTGGGGGCTTTCCCTCATTTTCAGGGAAGGCACTGATTTCACTTGTTGTAAGCTTTTATTTTCCCTTTCAAAAGCCAAATATCTGGTCATCCCAACAGTCTTGTGGGGAATTTGTCATGCATCAAGCTGCACAAACTCACAAACTTGGCCTTAATTTTTAGACCATTCACATACTGGTCTATTGTTTCTGCAGGAGTCTGATATCTGGTAATAAATAAAAAATTACATCCAAATGTCACATATTTCTTGGAGCTGAAATAGTTCTGGAACTGATCCATTAGTAAAGTTAACTTTGTGTTATCCTTTTGCATCACAGAGATGAGAGTACTTCCAATACATCATGCCCAATCACATGAAGGAAAGCAGATGCTTGTCATTTTCCTCACCATCTTGCTGGTACATAAATACCGTTCAAGTGTTTGTCTCCCCCTTGTCCTATGTTAGGATAAGGCCTCTAAAATAACCCCGTTTGTCAGGGTGCCATATGTCTGATATTCTCACCATCAGTCCAGTGTAATAACAGTCCAGCTGTGCTGGGGTCACAGACACTTTGTCCAGGAACAAAGGCAAGGCATGAACTAACATGGTGTTTGCAATTGCTCTAGTCAGCTCAGCTAGGAGAGTGAAGTCCTTGACATAAATCAGAGTACCATGTAAACTGCTCTAATCTGGTTAATCTGGTACCTCGCAGCAGTCACATGTATCACTATAATGTTTGCCTATGCTAGAAAACCAGATCATTCAAGAAAAAAGACCTTTAAGAGTTAGGGTTGCTAACACACTGCTAAATACTCAACTCGGGCAGATACCATCATGTTTAGCATTGTGGCAGCTGGTCAGCCCATGGGTTTAACCACAACCAGCTGATGTGATGTTAAACACAGCAGTCCCTGTCTGTGTTCAATGTTTAGCAGCATGTTTAGCATTGTCTTAGTTACCAAGATTCCTTGGGGTTGTGTTTTATCATGATGCAATTTTCCAGTGTGGAAGAGCTCCAAAAGGATAGATTTTACAACCATTGGAAGATAGGTCAGAATATAAAGTGACAAAGAGGAATAGGTGGGTTTAGGCAGTATGCTTGGCTTGTGGCTATTGAAGAGATCTTCCTCCTACACGTGATATTGCCACAGGTACAATCCCGGGAAAAGAGATCCTTTGTTTAAGAAGGAGGCACTGATAGCAGGTATTTTTCCCTGATGGGTCTTCCATTCTGGAGCAGCCTCCACCTTTTTTTAAGAAAAACCTCAAATTAACTGACTTGGGGGCATCCTGGCAGGATGTATCTATTTTCTTAGTTTTTATTGGAAATGACAGGTTGAGCGAATCAAGATGGCAAGTTGAGGGAGCCTCCTGCTTTGGCACAGGAGGCACTTTGTTGCAGTAGAGCAAATCAAGATATCTTGGATTTTTATCCATAGCTGTGTGTATATTTAAAACAATTACCCAAGTGTGTGGAGTCATCCTGATGGGTGCTTTTTAAATAAACATGGAGAAATAGCTGAAGCTAAACACATTACGTCATCATATAACTCCTGTAGTTTGAATAGTCCGCTGAGCCTCTTCCCAGATATTTAAGGAGCAGCAGTATTCTGCCCTCAGATAAACTTTGGAGAAGCTTGGGCCTGGGTTAACAACCAAGTTTTGAATCTTGCCTCCTTTATCTATTAGGAAATAAAGTCAATCTTTGAACAGAACATTCCTGAACTTTGAGAAATTATGAGTATGATTCAAATAGGGTGTTGGACCTTCGTTTCCTCCAATTTTCTTCACTCAGAGTGGTGGGTCCCAAGGTGACAGGTCCTCGATTCTTGAAACAGTTGCAATGCAATGGGTTACAATGGATCCTTAGATTCTTGATGCAGGTTCCTGAATGAACCTTGAAGCTCTTCTGCCAAACACTGCAAAACCTGTCCAGCTTTGCAAAAGTAACCTCTGAACAATATATCTAACTATGCCCTGTGCCCTTCTTTTGCTTAATAAATAATGGAAAATTTTAAGGAAAAGAATTCATGTTCCTGAAACATTAAAATTAACTAAAATATGTAATGTCAGGGAATGTAAACATAAGGCACCTTTTGCTAGTGGCATGTCAGCTCATAAAGGCGATTCAAATTTAAGTGAAAATAAGTTGTCTTAGAGACATGTTTTAGAAAAATAGTTGTTTATTGGAAAAATACTTTCCGCCCTTACATTTACAACCATACTGCCTATGCACAACAGGACAAAGAAAAACAAAATTCCATTGACTGACATTTTCTGGCTTTTGAGTAAAACAGGGCAAACGATAGTTGGTGGCTTGATCCAAAGTGTCATGTGAACGACAGTGGTTCAGATGTAAGACCTTACTATTTTAATACAGTCCCAAGCAAAATATAAATAAATAGTTACCTTAGTACTTACATGGTTTAGGAAATTAGTCTATAAATTGTTATTGCTTACTATTCTCCTAACTCGTCTTTAGGAATAATACAGGGATGTTGTACGGGAGGCTAGGGACCAGGTTAGGAAAGCTAAGGCCCAGTTAGAATTAAACTTGGCTAGGGATGTTAAGGATAACAGGAGGGGATTCTATAGGTACATAGCAAATAAAAGACAGACTAGGGACAAAGTGAGCCCTCTCTGGAAGATCTCAGGAGAACTGGCTACCCTGGATTTAGAGAAGGCTGAGGTTTTGAATGACTTCTTTGCCTCGGCCTTCACTGGCAAAGGCTCTGACCACACCACCCAAGTCTTGGAAGAAAGATGCAGGGACTGTGAGAATGAAGACCCGAGGCCCACTGTAGGAGAGGAACTGGTTCGAGACCATCTTAAAAATCTGAACGTGCACAAGTCCATGGGACCTGATGAAATCCATCCACGAGTCCTGAAGGAGCTGGTGAATGAAGTTGCTAAGCCACTGACCATCATATTTGAGAAATCATGGCAGTCAGGTGAAGTTCCTGACGACTGGAAAAAGGGAAATATAACCCCCATTTTCAAGAAGGGGAAAATGGATGACCCGGGGAATTACAGACCAGTCAGTCTCACCTCTGTGCCTGGCAAAATCTTGGAGCAGATTCTCCTGGAAGGCGTGCTAAGGCCCATGAAAAACAACAAGGTGCTTGATGACAGCCAGCATGGCTTCACTAAGGGGAAATCCTGCCTGACCAATGTGGTGGCCTTCTATGATAGGGCTACAGAACTGATGGACGGGAGTAGAGCAGTTGATGTCATCTACCTGGACTTGGGCAAAGTGTTTGACACTGTCCCACACGACATCCTTGTCTCTAAATTGGAGAGTCATCAATTTGATGGATGGACCACTCAGTGGATAAAGAACTGGCTGGATGGCCGAACGCAAAGAGTTGTGGTCAATGGCTCAATGTCCAGCTGGAGACCAGTAACGAGTGGTGTCCCTCAGGGATCAGTGTTGGGACCGGCCTTGTTTAACATCTTTGTCGCTGACATGGACAGTGGGATTGAGTGCGCCCTCAGCAAGTTTGCCAATGACACCAAGCTGTGTGGTTTGGTTGATACCCTGGAGGGAAGGAATGCCATCCAGAGGGACCTCGACACGCTTGTGAGGTGGGCTGATGCTAACCTCATGAAGTTTAACCATGCCAAGTGCAAGGTCCTACAGCTGGGTCGGAGCAATCCCAGGCACAGCTACAGGCTGGGCAGAGAAGAGATTCAGAGCAGCCCCACGGAGAAGGACTTGAGGTGTTGGTTAATGAGAAAATGAACATGAGCCAGCAGTGCACGCTCACAGACCAGAAAGCCAACCATATCCTGGGCTGCATCAAAAGGAGCGTGACCAGCAGGTCAAAGGAGATGATCCTGCCCCTCTACTCTGCTCTTGTGAGATCTCACTTGCAGTATTGTGTGAAGTTCTGGTGTCCTCAACATAAAAGGGACATGGAACTGTTGGAACAAGTCCAGAGGAGGGCCACGGGGATGATCAGGGGACTGGAGCACCCCCCGTATGAAGATGGGCTGAGAAAGTTGGGGCTGTTCAGCTTGGGGAAGAGAAGGCTGCGTGGAGACCTCATAGCAGCCTTCCAGTATCTGAAGGGGGCCTATAGGGATGCTGGGGAGGGACTCTTCATTAGGGACTGTAGTGATAGGACAAGGGGTAATGGGTTAAAACTTAAACAGGGGAAGTTTAGATTGGATACAAGGAGGAAGTTCCTTACTGTAAGGGTGGTGAGGCACTGGAATGGGTTGCCCAGGGAAGTTGTGAATGCTCCATCCCTGGTGGTGTTCAAGGCCAGGTTGGACAGAACCTTGGGTGACATGGTTTAGTGTGAGGTGTCCCTGCCCATGGCAGGGGGGTTGGAACTTGATGATCTTAAGGTCCTTTCCAACCCTAACTATTCTACGATTCTATGATTCTATGAAGACCACTTCTCGAGTACATCTGTACGTACTGAAAATCTCTTACTTTAGACATTCTTTTTGAAAACCTCGACTGTTGGACAGTCGTCTTGATGCAGATACAGCAAATTATCTGTTCCTGTTTGGTCCTTTTCAGCAAGCCAGCTGCCAGATAAGACTTACCGCAGTGCTTTTGTCACTTGTAGATCTACGTCAATGTGGTTGCAAATTCTGGAAACTCAAGACATGAAGATAAACTCTTGTGTGATGACGTTTCATGCTTTTCAGCAGGGAACAAGTCAGACAGGAGCCAGCTGAGAAAGCCAGCCACCCTTGGTCCTGGCAAGAATAGGTCCTGCAAGGAGACAAAAGGAGTCTGTAGGCAAAGTTCTGGTTTTCTTTTGTTTTGTTTAATTAATGTCCCAGACAATTATGTGAAGACAATATCTGATTTATCAAGCAGTTAGGATATTATCAAGGCTTCCAACACAGCACCGTCATATATACTGTGGTGTACATAAAGGATATCATCTCAGGAGCAGTTTCAGTAAGTGAAAGGGTTGGAAGCTACGTAAGGTAAACAAGGCTGTTGGGAGTTTTTTCCTGGTGTAGCCACACTTACCGTTGCCAAAAAGTAGGCAAACTTTTGCCTCCAAAAATAAAAAGTGATTATACTCTGTCTAACCAAGCCTACTCTTAACTACAGCACTGCCTATCACAAACAGAAGGGCAGATATGTATTATGTGGTATTATTTTTGGAAAGTTTCCATTCAGGAGTTTGCAAGAATAATATGGGTGTGTTGCTGGTGCAGAGCTGAGTGTCTCCATGAGTGTGAACTCATGGTCCTGTAGACCACTGCATTATTATCTTTGCAGCTTTGTATGGGCACTGGACACTGATTTTTTATTCACCAGAGTATCACCCAGCTCCACTGACATCTGTAGATGCTTCTGCACAGACTCCAGTGATGATTCCCGGAATGATGATCTTTGCCTAGCAGATCACATGCAGTCAGCAAGGCAAGAGACTGTGTACTTCCCTCCACATTCAGCTATGTTTACCTATCCTCAGACAGGCCCCTGTGATACTTCTTCTGCATCTGCTCTGCCCAGACTTTTTCTGCATCACTAACAAGGACAAACTTTGGTCCAACTTTCAGTCTTCTGTGCAATCTTGAATAGGGATGATATCATAAGCTCTGTGACAGGAAGAGTGGGAGTCTCAGCATGGCTGGTTTGCTAAGGTATCTTTGGCTGAAGACCAAAATCCTAGCCTGCCTTCATTACATGTGTACATGAGCAGGTCTGATCCCCGTCAAAGGGTGTTTCATGTCTGTTTTTCAAATGGTGAATAAATAGGCTCTTACACCAGGCAATTTTAATCTAATTTTGTCTCTGCTACTGGCATACTGCATGATCTTGCAGAAGTCACTCCATCTCTTCATGCCTCTGTTTCTCTGTTTCTCCTCCCCATCATCCTTCGACACTTTACCAGTTGAGATGCTCAGTTTCAGGTGCTAGGGTATCACAGGGTCCCTAATGTGCTTACAGTATTCAGCCCTGACTATAATTTGGAACTCCTGGCACTTTCATGCCACAAACAACAACAGCCCAGTATGGGTGATTGCAGGTTTTAATTCAACAGTAAATGAAGGGGTCCTGGATGTGTGCTCTCTTTGCACTAGCAGTTGAATTCTTTGTGTGCTGCTTCTGACTCATCCAGATGGGTTTTAAAACCAGAAATTACAAGGTAGGGTGCAAGTTGCTATAATGTGCCTGGATGCACACTCTTAACTTGTATGCTTTACGAAGTATCCTAAGCAAGGGCATGTTGAACTTTTGCCTGTTAGGCACACTGGCAGCTTGTCAGGGTCTCAGCCAATTTGAATTAATTAATTAGCACAGCTACGTTATCCATCTGGGAGCCCTCCAGGCTTCAGGTTCCAATATGCTCTGTTTCATCTTGAGGAGGGGAAACACTGTTTAGTCACGACAGGGCACTGCATTGTGGCATTTGGGCTCCATGGGTTCATCTCAAGAATTAAAATGGGCAAACAGCTGCAGGCTATCACATAGCACTTCCTGGGTGACTGCTTGGTGATGTGCAAGATGCATAGGAGAGATGGCTGGATCTCAGTTTTGTGTTCCCCGGCGTTTCAGTTCCCCACTAGCAAAATGGCAATAGTAACACATAGGCTTCCTGGCTAGTCTGTTATCTGGAGCATCAATTATTTAGAGGAGCGTATGTTTCCAATATTTTTCAGCTGCTAACCAAAACCACTGTAAATCTCTGAGTTTGAGTCAAACACAGAATTTATATAGCAAGTATTCACAACAATGCTTGTAGAGATAGCAAAACACACCCAATTCCAGTAACCTAAAGAGGAGTCACAATTCTAACCCTGGGATAAACTGCAAGTTTCATTTGTTCTCTTTAAGTAAACTTTTCCTGTAATATTTCTACACATTGCAAAGAACAGTCACTTTTCTCAGGAAAAAAAATTCCCTCTTGCTAACAAAATTGTGAGATTTGTTCAGAACAGCCAAGTCAAAAACATGGGAACAAAATTTTTTGAAAAGAGGACTGAAACAACCCCCAAGTCACAGGTACAACTGCTTTGTCCAGCAGCTGTCTGTTGTCTAGAGAGTGTCATATTTCATAAATTAAATACATCTTCCTTGTAAATATGTTAACTGTCTTTTGACAGGCCCCAACTATCTTCCCACAACTGAAGTGCCCCAGGCCATGGCAAAGACACAGCATTTTTTCAAAGTCCCACCTACTCTCATGCTTCTTAGGCATAGCATTGCTTTTTCACTCTGTTTTCCAGGTCACAGATGACACAACACAGTAGTAAAATATTAGCCAGTTATCACAGACAAGAAGTTTTGCCTTGTAAATCCTTTTCCACACTCAGAGTTGCACTGGTTTAATTAAAGGTGTGTTTTAAAATCAAATTAGTTAAGCCAGTGCAAATACTGGAATCTATTTAAAGTAGGTTTGTATTGATTTAGCTTAATCTGATCAGGAAATGACTTAAACTAAATTGACACAGAGCAGATTTAAATCAGTCTGAGTGGCCACATCTTGTGTCAGTTTAACTAAATCATTCTAAAACCAATTTTGTGTGGACCGCTGTTGTGCTACGGAGGATGAGCTAAAGAGGTGACTGAAATAACCAGATAAATGAATGACAATTAGGACCTGATTCAGCACTGCAATACTTCCGTGTAAGTCTGCTGTCACAGTGTTGTAGTTGTCCACAGTTGTAGTAAAACTCGGAATGGAGCATGGTTTGATAGCGCTTCCTCTAGGCATTTTGTAAGGTTTCCAACCTTAAAACGGGACAAGCTATTTTGGCTTTTTTTTAAATAGCCCTGGCAGTAATTCTCAGATACAGTAATTTCCTGAGTCTCATAGTCATTTTTCATTTTTTATTTAAAATTTCTGAAAACTTCAAGCTTAGAGTAAACAATAATATTAAACCTTGCTTGACTCCTTTTAAGAATTATTGCTTTCTAATCGAGGTTGACAGTCTTTCCTTTCTAACACAAATGAGGTAAGCACATTTTCATAAATAGTGCATTTCCATCCAAGATCTGCTTTTTTAATTATGCTTAGGAAAGCAAGGGGGGAGGGGATATCGCATTTTCAAATAAAATTCCCCTAAATGAAATCCTACAGAAGCTTAAGGTCTGAGGTAGGTTTCTTGTGGTGCTTTTATGTTGTAAATACTGAGGTTTTAGATTACTTATTTAGCTTTAGTCACCAGCAGAGCTAGCTTTAAAATAAAATGAGAACACTGAAACAGCTGTAGCAGTGTACATGAGTCACTTGGACCTTGGCAGAGATGTGAACATTAAGGTAGGAGTATCGCTGCTCTGCAAGCTTACCAAGACACCTTGTTGTTGGGTGTACCCCCAGGCAAAAAATGAATGATATCTGCTAGTCTCATAACAAACACCATGCTGCAGAAAACCAAGCAAGGCATATCAGTGATTTTTTTTTTTTTTTAACAGGTGGTCACCAGTGTTTAGGGGTTAAATAGGTCTTCCAGTGCTATTATAGGCAGGCAACAGGAATGGGTATTGCAGAATCAGATGTGCATGTTGGAGGGTCTGTCCTGGTGACCTGCATGAAGAGGGAGGAAAAAGACACTTGTCTAGACGAGCTCAGGCTGTAACAGGGGTGGCAGAAAGATGAATATAACACTGATAAATTGGGTTTTTTGGAGGCTTCACTGAAAATCAGCACAGATGGCTCTTTCACCCACACCCTAGCAAAAATTGTGATTTATGGTTGGAGGCAGCAAGTATGTTGCCATGAATTATGGCAGTTTAAGAAGCTCACATTTGTAATTGGGAGCTGGCAATTATTTACCATGAAATGTGATCATTACTGTCAGGTGACGATGACATTCCCCTGCTTTATGCATTCAGTAACTTTGAAGACTGCATGAACTCTTTGGGGGATGGAAAGAGGAGAGCTGGCTTCTCTCCATCACCGCTACCAAAACGGGTGTGTGTTTTGGCAGTATTTTTGCTTGGAATGTTCAATTCAGATTAATTTCAACCTCTACTGTCCCAAGTGTATGCTGGTGCCACTAAACATACGTTTGCCAACTGTGAAGTGCAGGTCATGTCATTCAGCATGGAAGTGAAGTGATTCTTATCTATCTCCCCTGTGTGTACCTTTCAGATTAGCTCCACTGAGATCAATGGCATTACAAGTGTTTAAAAGCAGCAGTGGTGAGAACTGTTCTATTCTATTCTAACAGTCCCCAGAGAGGCAGTAGATTATCAGGCAATTTGGGGTGAGAAACTGTGATTGTTTGGTCATTTAATAATCATCTTAAATAAAGAGGCAGCATCACATTCTGACTGCAACCGTTCACATAAACATGGAAGCAGCTGGGAGGTACTGGGAAGAAAAGGTCCTTTTCTCTCCAGTCACCGCTCTCCCTACTCAAGGGATCGATTTTGTCTGGAGCTGTGTGAAGCAAGCCCATGTTACAAATTTTGGGATGCAGGTCCTTCTGAGACTGTGTTGTAGCTGGTTTTTCTTTTTATCTAATTCATAGCAAATACATATGACTATCACCAGTATTAATCAGAGATTTCATAGACTTAGATTTCATAGATTTTATTTCCTACTCTTATGAAGTTAACACATTTTATTTTCTACAATAGAAGACAGGCATTTCTATATTTTATATTTTCTTGTGTACCTGGCATCTTAATTGTCCCTTCCATGTGTATATTGTAAATTCAAACTACTTCTGAGAGTTTCTTGATTCCCATAATACCAGCCTCACAGTTGTGTAAGGACAGATGTCTTCTCCATTCTACTAACT